CGGGGAGCTTGCGGCGGTCGTCGGGCCATCGCAGCGTAGCTCAACGTCGGTTCCTCCGGTGCCACCGTGGTGACGGGAACCTCTGGTTGGAGCGCCCGATGCACTTCTTCTCGGACAGCCTCGGCGATGGGAAGGGTTGGCGGACGGCTGGTAGTTGGCAGCAACCTTCGCAGTTCCTCCCGGACAACCTCTCGGATAATTTCCCGGGTGTCCGGCGTACCCAGAGTGTTTTCGCCGTTAAGCAGTGTGGGTGCAGCGACGCCTGAATGTCGCTGGTAGTGGGAAGTACGTGCCTGAAGCGCGCGCTCGATGTTGGTTGCTTCGGCGATGAAAGCTCCGACGGTGGTAGGCGGGCTCCGCACAAGGCCACCGAAGATGTTTTCCTTCACACCGCGCATCAAGACCCGCAGCTTTTTCTCTTCGGGAGCGGTTGGGTCGGCGCGATTCATGAGGTGAAGAACGTCTTCGACGAAGCTTGTGACGCTCTCGGTCGGCCCCTGGGTTCTCGCTCGCAGGAGTTCTTCGGCACGCTGCCGTCGGTGCTGGTTGGCAAAGGTCCGTCGCAGCTCAGCCTGGAATTCTTCCCACGACGCAATGGACGCTTCGTGGTTCTCGAACCACGTGCGTGCCGTGCCTTCCAGAGAAAAGTAGACGTTCTGGAGGCACTGCTCCGGTGTCCATGCGTTATGGCGGGCAACTCGTTCGTAATGTTGCAGCCAATCTTCAACATCCTCGTGGACCTCCCCGTGGAATGGTGTCGGAGTCCGGGGTGAGACGGGAAGGTATACGACGGCGGCGGCGGACGGGTTCTGCGACGACTGGTTTTCCATCGTCGGCCTCGTTGGCTGCCTGGTCCGGGGTGGCAGAAGTCCGTGTTCCGGGGGTAGACCTTGGGTGCGGCGACTGGATCGGGTCTCGATCTGGTCTTCGCTCGGTCCTCGGGAGGCTGGGTTCGGACTTGCACTGCGGGAACTGGGAGGGGAGCGCTGCACGGGCATGCGATTACCGCGCACCTCCACCAAAATGTCAAGGGTGGTGACCAATAAACAAGAATTAAACAGTAATAAATAAACGTTTAATGTGGCGAAGTTGTGCCAAAAATAAAAGGAAACAAAAGATAATAACAGAGCGTCGCGGGCGTCGAAGTCGGCGTAGCAGCAGAGTCGAACGCTGGGGCGAAACTGACTCCGCTCGCCTGGCGGAATCCCTTATGCACCCTCGTGGGTTTCTGGATCGTTCGGCGTAGAAGGTTTGGCGCGTAGAATATTCTAACCTCGAGTCAGCAAGATGTTGCTCGAATTTACCAGAACATTACTTTACACAGTCAAAAAAAGTGCCTCCGCGAACCCTGGCTTTCAGCGTGGAAAGCAAGCGCGATAACCGTTAGGCCACGCGCCCGCTGCCTACTTGACCAGCTGCGCGCGCGGTAATATATATATATATATATATATATATATATATATATATATATATATATATATATATATATATATATATATATATATATATATATATATATATATATAATTTAAATTTACATAATTTTGCGGACTCTAACCAAAGTTTTATTAAAAACACATAAACCCGACGTTTCGGGACCCGGTCGGTCCCTTGGTCACGGGTGACTGCAGGGAGGGGCGCGGTGGGGAAGGCTGCCCAGGTGGTTGGCCTTGCTAAGGCTTAACCCAGGGGGCGCGATAGGTATTGGGGTGGGGACGAGGGGGCGCGGAGTGGAAGGTTGCCCAGGTGTTTGGCCTAGCTATGGCTTACCCGAGAAGGCGCGAAGTCCAGACACGTACGCGCTCAGGAGAGTGCCCCTGGACCGGTTCAAGTTCTTACTCGTTGTTTGGATAAACCAGGACTCTAGATGGAGTTTCCTGCAAAGTCCCTTGGTGGTCACGATCTGGGTCTCGTCGATGGAGAAAGAGTGCCCCGTTTTTTGCTCGTGCTCTGCCAGGGCGCTGGCATTAGTGTCTTTTTTTCTCACGTCGTATTTGTGTCGTGGAACACAATCCGGGAAGTTTTTCGTTTCCCCCACATAAGCGACCAGGCAATCCGTGCAAGGAACGCGGTACACAAGACCTTTAGCCCTTTCCCTTCCTGGTCTGTCTTTGGGGAGAGGAATCCGCCGACGGATGGTAGACACGGGCTTGAGAGAGACGGCAACGCCGTGTTTCCGAAGGACGTGTTTGACGGCCTCACTCACATTCTTCACATAAGGGAGACAGATGCGATTAGACGGTCTCGAGGCCGGAGTTAGAGGGGGCGGCGTAGGCGTTTGTAGATGTCGTTAACAAACCGCTTTGGGTAACCGTTGTTAACTAGATCAGCTTTGATCTTCCTGACTTCTTCTCGTAGGGACCCTTCCTAGAACACACGGACAGCGCTCGTCGGAAAAGGGCGCTGACCATTGAGGCTTTGTGCGATGTGGTGTGGTACGACTCGAAGTTCAAATATCTACCGGTGTGCGTAGGTTTTCGGTATACCGGCGAAGTTGAACGCGTCAGAAGCTCTCTTGACGCTCACATCCAGAAACGGGAGCACGCCGTCCGTCTCTCGCTCCACCGTGAACTGAATCGACGGTTCAACGGAGTTGAAACACTGGCACAGGCGCTCAACCCCACTTGCTTTGACGGTGGAGAAACAATCATTCATTACCTGAGGAAGGTCTTGGGCTTTGGATGAAAGCAAGAAAGAGCTTTTTGTTCGATGTGCTCCATCGCGAGGTTGGCCATGGTGACGGAGATCGCAGCTCCCATGGCAGTTCCACTCGTTTGCTTGTAGAAGCGATGATTGAACGAGAAGTATGTGCTCGACAGACACAGCTCCAGAAGGCGGCAGATGTCGTCCTCGGACAGACAGGTTCGTTCTGCTAAGCCGGAATCGGCTGAAAGGGCCGTCCTGGCCACAGAAAGTGCTAGAGGTACCGGCACACTCGTCAAAAGTGACACGACGTCAAAGGAAACCAGAGATTCGTCGGCGTTCACCTTTAGTCCTTTGATGAGATCGATGAAGTGACTCGAATCTCGTAAGCATGTGTCCGTGGTGTCAGTGAGGGGGGAGATGAGCTGGTGTAGGTACGCCGAAACTGCACTTAGTGGGGAAGTAGTGAAGTCCACCATGGGGCGGAGGGGGACCTCCGGCTTGTGGATTTTTGTAGACCGTACAAAGCGAGAGGGGACCCGTTGCGACAAATTAACCTAAGATAAAGAAATTAGTGAATCCGGGTGCTCCTTGAAAATGATAGACACGGCCTTGTTTATGGTATTCTGGATCTTGTCGATGGGGTCCTTTTGTAGGGGCGCATACGCCGAAGTGGAGAGCATTTCCGTCACCTTTTGGTTGTGGGAGCTCTTGTCCAGGACCACCGTCGCATTGCCTTTGTCTGCGGGCAGAACCACGATGGCGTCGTGTTCCTTCAGGCTATGAAGAGCGCGGTGTTCGGCGGACGAAAGGTTAGGCTGGCGACGGCGCACCTGTGCGACAGACGCGATAGCTTTGAGCCGACCCTCTTCTTGTAGAGACGGGTCCAGTTTACGAATGCCGTCTTTAATGGCGGCCGCCATAGCGGGAATTGAAGGCTTACTTGCGTATGTGATGACTACGGTCCGAACGCGCTGAAGCTTGCAAAGAAGTTTGTGCACGCCAGTCGCACGACAGCCAATTTCAAGACCCACCTCACTTTTAACAAGACCTGCAAGGAGCTCAACCTGATTCCTAAGAGCCTGCGGCTAAAGCGTCCGTTGAGCTCCTCCGAGGGGCACAGGGTCATCGATCAAGCGCAACGCTGTCTCCTCGACGGCCACATTTATGAGATGGGAACTCGATATTTTATTCTTGCTAAGACAGCTGGAATTCAAGATACCGGAGGCCTTCCACGCCCTTGACGATTTCCCCCGGTCCACGGCTATCACCGCTACACAGGAAAGAACTCACGAACATCAGAAGAAGATTGCGGCTTACCGGCAGAAATCTTCACCTTTCGTCTGCCTGAGCAACAGTAACTTCGTAAGGAACTTGTCTTCAAGTGTGCTCTCACCGACAAAAACATCCGTGCTGGCAAAAGGACACGGGTTCAACGTCCCAAGTAAGCCTCCAATTCCCGCTATGGCGGCCGCCATTGAAGACGGCATTCGTAAACTGGACCCGTCTCTACAAGAAGAGGTTCGGCTGAAGGCTATCGCGGCTATCGCACAGGTGCGCCGTTGCCAGGATAACATTTCGTCCGCCGAACACCGCGCCCTTCGTAGCCTGAAGCAAGACGACGCCATCGTGGTTCTGCCCGCAGACAAAGGTAACGCAACGGTGGTCCTGGACAAGAGCTCCTACAACCGAAAGGTGACGGAAATGCTCTCCACTTCGGCGTATCCCTATCGAAAAGGCCATCAGGAAAATCCTGATGGTCTGATGGAGTCGTATTTTGGGACGTCTGATGGTTTGATGGCCTGACGGTCTGTTGGCCTGATGGTTTGATGGTCTATTGGCCTGAAGGTTTGATGGTCTGTTGGCCTGATGGTTTGATGGCCTGATGGTTTGATGGTCTGTTGGTTTGGTCTGATGGTCGAATGACCTGTCGTATTTTGAGACGCCTATTTTTTACGGTTTGATTATGGTGGTTTCATGGCTAATTTGAAACAGTTCGAGTTGGCCACAACTTAAAAAAAACACAACAATATGTGAATGCATAATTTGGAAACTTAATTATGCCATGCCTGGAGCATGACGAGGTGCACATCCCACTTAGAATTTAATTATATTGTCCACTGCACACTGGTAATCGCCAGCCCGACATTTGAGTACGGCCAATGCAGCTACTAATAAGAATAAAGTCAAACAAGCTGCATTGCTTTGATATTTTTATTATGAAGTTATGAAATCATACATTGTTTCGCTGGGCGGAATGGCTAGGTGGTACAGAAAAAAAAGAAACATTTGAAGAAGTACTATTGTGACCAATATTAGTTGAAGCGCCATGACGCATGGCGTGTGGTGCTATCAGAGCCACCTGTCAGATTTTCAGTGAACCTCTGTGTTTGCTGAGGTTTAGGCAGGTTGCTTCTTGCACTCATTGTGCCACTATGAGCTGAAAATTGACACGGAACGGCATAGTGGTGCAACGAGCACAAGAAGTGATTTGTTTCTACCTCAACGCATACCAAGGTTTGCTGAACAATCTGAGAGACAACTCTCATCGCGTGCCACTTGCAGTGGCGTTTCAGCTCATATTGGCTGCGATAGTACATTTGTTCCATTTCAATAGTATTGGCAATATATAAATGAAGCTAAATTAATATGAAAAAAGGGTAAAAAGGCTACAACATGGGGTGCAAGCGATGGCAGACCTGCAGCAGCATGGGCAGTCCGTGGTGGGACCACGCATCGGGGGAGGACAGGCAGCAAAGGGATGAGCCTGGACATATCAAGGGCAATTCAGAGATCAGCAATGAGTCCAAACACAGGACGACCATTGACATACGTAAACAGCAGAGTGGGCGTAGAGACGACTAAGGGGCAGTAAGAGTGACGTGCTTCATTGTAATTGTGTGACCATGCAACTTTTTGGAGAGTGAGCGAGCACGGCCTGATGGGATGGCAGTAGCGACCAAGCAACCCACAGCCTTTTTCAAGTGGACAGCTGATCAACAGACTACTTTAAAGTTGTTTGCATAAACATTTAGATATATTAACCTCTAAATAATTTATCTATACCATCATTTAAAATAGCTGCTTGTAAACTTGAGACCTAAAATAGTATATTACTTAATTAAGGAAGTTAGAGTATAGACGCACATACCTTTGTAGTGATTTCTCTTGACATTGGACAGCTTTTCTGACAGGTACCGCCGTATCTTCTGGTGCCGGGCTGCCCTTTCAGCCTGGCGGTACCTTTCTCCCTCAGGTGTAGTCAAAAGCAGCCTGGAATATTGAAATTCCAGGGTAATTATTTTTTGCAGTGGTCAGACTTAAAACAATATAGAACGTCATAAATACAGGCTGGAGGGTCATAGTTTGAGAAGACCAAGGGTAAATTAGTCTCAAATAAAAGCAATTAAGTGGCAGCTGGCACCTAACAAACCTTCAACGTTTCTTAGTATTTACAGTGTTCATAGATCACCATGAAAGCAAAAGTACCGCACTATCCTGATTTATGTTCCACTCCCAATATACAGCTCACCCTGGCTTCTGTTAGATTCTTTTAAGCACAAAACAGGTAGCCCATGTCTATAAATCTCACTGCTAGGCTAGTGACCTTGTAAGACATAGGAGCTACAACTGTAGATAAGTAGACAATGTACGTTGGAAACTGCTTATACTTGGTTGTCATCCCTCGCTGTGGTAACAGCTTAGACACGCCACAGAATTAAAACAATAGCATCATGAGCACCCGAAAGAACAATGCAGTTCTATATAAAAACAATCTTTCACATTCCTTGAAAGATCCTCCATTCATGGCCTGGCTCTAAATTTAAAGGTAATTAAACAGTCTTTTAATGTGCACCTCTGAAGCTTCGTTGGGAGGTAATCTAGCAATGTTGGGGATCTTGGACGTAGTCGTGACATGGCGAAAACCGTTATGTAGCTGCACTACACATCGGAGCAGCGCCGCTGTTTGGAGGTATACTCAACTGTTGGAGTAATCTCGCCCTGAACGCGATGATCTTGACATTACTTATCTCACACATAGGCGCTTAGACGGCTTAGTCCGCTTTGGTCCACGTAAAGCCTACAGGTGTTTCAAATGGCTAGGCTGTAACACGTCTACACCACCACTATGCACCCGAACGGCACAGCTCGTAGCCCCGCCAGCTTTGCCGGATAGCCCACGACGCATCGAGCTCTCCGTTGACTTCTCTTCGAGCACTTGCTTGAGTTTGTTGCTTAGAACGAAAAATAAAATTATCTGTTCAAAATACAAATGTGCGATTATTTACGGTTATTATCTGTTATGATTGACTCATTCTTGGCGGGGTACCCCCATCACATGTCCAGGTGTTAGCAGACAACCTACTAGAGTAAAATCTCGGGGATACTAACTGGTACAATTTCGGAACAAAACAAATTAACGAATTCCCCGGCCGAAGTGCATTGTATACGACGTGAAAATTTTTGGGTGTTCCGAATTCCTCTACACGCTGCGACGGCTGATGCGAATGCGTGCTCCACAACTGATAGTGGCAAGGAGGCCACGATCGGCGACTGTAAGCTTTCAAGGCTCCGGGCGACTGATTGCCTGCTGCTGCCAGGGATCAGCCGCACTTTACCCAAAAACTGGAGCTCAAAATTACATGCATGTTACAATCGGACCCAAAAACCAAAACTAAACAAAATGCTAAAAAAAAAAACTGTGCAATGTGGCCAGCCCCATCACCATCAACAAATGTTTCAAATCCAATCCAATCTGAATCCAAAATCGCTTCTTTGTTTTTGCGATCTCGTGGAATGGTGTTTCAGCCTTGGAAAAGCAAAACCGATTTTACTATAAGGTTGCCTCTAATAAACAAAGTAAGTGCGTTGGCAAAAACAAAAAAAAAACGAGTGATGTTGGTGGTGTCTTCGGTGTGGTCCACGGTGACATGCGAGCTTCGTTGGAAAGACAAAGAAACCGAATTTTTGCTTGCAAGTTTCTGATGTAGGGCTTAAACAGCACATAGTGTGGGCACTTTCCGAGTATGTGCATTTGATAAAATATTTTCCACAAAGTGTATGTTGTTCAGCCGTCATTATTTTATCTGCGAAGTCATATCGACATTTATCTGCGCAGTAGAATCGACATTAATTCATTTTTTCAACATTCGTGGGTTGATTATAACCGTGTGTTACTATCGGGAGCGTGTTAGAATCGTGTAAATTGCATACAAGATATTTTTTGCCATAAATAAATGCACATTCATGCATTCCTTGTGTTTCAAAATATAAATTTTGTTTCGCTTTCGTTGATACGAATTTAGCATGAAATATTTTACGCGACTCCGCGAGATTCATATCAAGATTTTAAAAATGTTTGCTTAATGGAAGAGCCTGCACCTTGCGCTGAGTGAGCGGGGCAAATGCCTTCTCTTGCCTCGCAGCCTTTGCCTTGTTGGAGAGGGTGCCGGTCACCGACCTCTCCAAAAGCACTTCCACTCGCCCTATGGAAGCAGCAGTGATCTTGCAAAACATGGAGTCGCACTCTGCTTTCCGCATGTTGCCCGCATTCCTGGTTGACGTGCACACCTTGCCCGACATGGATCTGCTATAAACAAAAGCGAGAAACAGCTTCACATATACCAGTCGTTCACGCAGAGTGGTACTGTATACTCAAGATGCATTGAAAATGCACTAAAATAATTACATTAATGAAATTTAGGCCTTTAAATTTAAGACAGCACTAGACATGAATTCCTATCTTCATGGGCGTTTGCGAAGCTGATGGGCCTACAAAGCTTCATGGCATCTGCATGAAACAGCTACATAATCCCTTAGTTGCATCAGGTGAGCATAACAACAGAATGTTTTCCAGGCACTGGCTGTAACTACAATTAAGAGCCTGGCTACAATAATGTTTTAATGACTTCTTGTTGCAATCGATTCAATCTACTGTGCTTACATTATCCCAGGAGTGGCCAAAGTGAGGCTCGCGAGCCGCACGCGGCTCTTTGCGGGTCCAAGTGCAGCTCGCGGCTCCCTGTAAAACGCGTCCCCTAGACGAAAAGGGTTCTAGAATTTAGAAAGAACTACAAGTCTTGGCAGCCTGGCAACACACTACATATATACACCTGGAATGCTTTTTGCCACATAGATGCGTCGAGTGACCCTGTTTCCTTTAATGTTCTAGAAAGACTTTCAACCGTATACGCATAACAGTTGTCAGGTGCAGTGACTGGTTAGTGAATCGTGTATTAATTTTTGCTTAGCAGTGGAAAGGACCTTCTGATGAATAGTGTCATTTGTTGTTATCGTCCATTATACTTGTCCTCTAAGGAAATAACTGTTCCCTCCATATTGTTTTTTGTTAAAAGTAGCCCCTCCCCACTTTCTTTTTTCCAGCGACTCTAAACTTTCATAGTTTTGTCTGCGGCTCTAACTCCATGTCACTCTGGCCACCCCTGCACTATCCTAAACTCTTTTAATGTATATTATACACTGAATGAAAGTGAAAAGTTTTTCTATTTTACCATTCCTTCCTTTTCTGAAGGCCGATGCTAGGATCCACGATCTCATTCTTTGCAAGGATGTCCTCGTCAGCAACTGAAAAAAAAACAATTTCACATTAAAGAGGTACAGAAACCAAATTCCAGCGCTCATTTTATCGCTTTAATGAGTTGCATGTTGCAACATAACCTCAAAAATACCAGTCCTTTGCTGAAGGGCGCAAGCAAACTAATTTTAAAGCTAATCAAACAATCTTTCAATGTGCACCTGGTGGATGCCTGTGGAGCCTATTTGGGAGGTAATCTAGCAACATTGGGGAACTTGCGACGTAGTCATGACGTGGGAAGGACATTCCTCGGTCATTCTGCTCAGCAACAGAGCGCAGCCACAACAGTAGAGTAGAGAGCTGTTTGCCGTTTATGCCTTCTTTCTCAGCATTATTGTTTCCACCCTTTATGAATGAATATCCTCTATGCAAGATATAAGCCATGTGTTGCATATGACATGTTTGGCTCTATCACCGCACAGCAAACTTCTTTCATATACTGCAGGTTCATTAAAAAAATTACCTTTTTAATGCTAAAGCACGGGTTCTGTTAGTACGGTAAACATACGAGTACCCAGAGGTCAGGCCATAAATGACTTGCGTGTTAGGCAGTAGGGCCCTACAGCACCTCCCGCATCAACAGCCGAGCCGCAGGTAGTCCTGCAATTGATAGAGCAGGGTAAGTCAGAGAAAGGTGTTTTTAGCAGCATTACTCACGCACATTGGGGCGTAGGCAGAAAGCATGGCATTCCTCATCAACAAATCATGACAACACATTGTTGCCAGCATCAAAGTAGATCCCTGTGCTATTTTTCTTTTTTTTATGATTTAGTTGATTCTTTGTCTTCCTTGTGACTCCCGACTGCTTTACTGGCCTTTGTGAAATAAAGAAGGCTTGGTAAACTGCCAAGCAGTGACTGAGTGGTGAAACAGAGCAATCCCAAGGAAAAATAAATGTTAAAGACTCGACATGACATTACGCATTGTTGGGATTCCCAAGCTGCTTTCCACACTCACATTTTGTGCACGACCAGCTCTCTTTCTGCATCAGTTGGATTGGTCAGTTGTGTGCCCGTTTCGGTCGCTGCTAGCCATATGTGGCTGGCGCTGTTTTTGAGAGCCTTGCAACATCGTTACTTTCAGCTTTTGTGCTGACATAAACCGCATCTAAAAATTTAATTAGCGCTAAGATTTAGCTTTTGGACACTCCCAGAAAAAATAGGCTGTACCACATTACATAGACAGGTAATGATATTCTGGTGACAAAATTTACACAAAAACTGCTTTGCGTTAAAGGGCACAAGGGCTGCCGTTCCTGTGAGGAGCAGCTTTGTGTCAACTTGCAGATGCTTCAGCTGCCTGTTTGCGCCTAGCCAGTTCAGTTGCCATTTCCTCTTGGGTTTCTTGTAGGTACAGTCGGGGACAAAAGTCTCCAGGACACACAAGCTGCGACTGAAACGCATTCCTCTGTCATCTGCCGGCGGGTCGCCTGGTTTCGAGATCACAGAAGGGCGCACGTGCGTCCTATTGTACCTGCCAACGTGTGCGCTTTCCCGCTCTGCTGCGGCGCGGCGCCTAACTCGGAATCGGGCGCGTGGTACCACTTCGGAGATAGTGCTTACTGACATGGCACCTATAAAGCAAGAAGTCACGGCAGCTCTATTAAGCGATAAGCTGAACTGGTTATAAAGCAAGGTGCGCTGACACGACGAAATGCGGCGCTGTTGTTGTTGTTGTTGTTTACGGTTTTAATGGCGCAAGAGCAACAGTGGCCATACTGCGCCAAACAAGGTGAATCAATAAAGGGGGGTCAGTTGAACTAAACTATGGGGAAATAGTTCTATAATTTGATTCAAAATCCAGTATTTTCAAGAAAATTAAAACGACATTTGAATGAAATCAGCGGTCGCTTACCAAGTAACAAGGCGGGGTGAAATGGAATGCGATATTTGAAAAGGTCAGGAAAAAATAATTTGTGCTGCTGCTGAAGACCAGGACAAAGAAATAAAGTATGAATAACAGACAAAGATTCACCGCAGCGCTCACAGGATGGACGTTCTCCACCAGTAAGTAGGTGGCTATGAGTGAGGTAGGTGTGGCCGATTCTCAGGCGGCATAAGAGGACCTCTTGGAATCTATTTTTGTCAAAAGGTGTTTCCCAAATACCAAGGTCTGGCTTGATGGTGTGAAGCTTATTGTTCACCTCTGAATCCCATTCAGACTGCCACGATCGCAAGACTGCAAGTCTTGTAGGCATTTTTAAGTCTTGGTGGGGGATGCGTACATGTGATACTGGGAGATTTTGCGATGAGACGGCCAGATTATCAGCAGCCTCGTTGCCAGCAATGCCCACATGACTAGGAATCCAGCAAAACCTAATATCGTGCCCATCCTGTAGGCCCTGCTGCACCTTAACACGCACAGTTAGGGTCAGCCGATTCTTTGTTGATAGGACAGAACACACAGCCCTAACAACACTCTGGGAATCTACAAAGATGATGGCTTTCTTTGTTTTACTATGAATAATATAGTCAAGCGCCATCATGACCCCGTATAGCTCGGCAGTAAAAATACTGGCAAGAGTGTTCAGACGAGTGACTTTGGAAAAACGAGAAGAGTACACAGCTGCACCAACAAACGTTGACGACTTTGCACCCTCAGTGTAAAAATGATTATAATTTTTGTATTTTTCCTCCAGTGCAAAGAATTCCTGCTGTAAAATTAAAGGAGAGATTCTTTGCTTCCTGAATTTTGTGAAGCACCATTCACAAAAAATTGGTTTGACATTCCATGGGGCAGTATGGTGTGAACTATCCAAAAGGTTAAAATCACGAGTCAGATTGAGGGAGGAGCGAAGACTCTCGACACGAAGACTCAAAGGCCGCACAACAGTTGGTTTATTGTTAAAGAGGCGAGAAAACCTAGAGTTTTGAATACAACTATAAGTGGGAGAGCTGGGGTCCGATAAAATTTTGTAAGCGTAGGTGAGGCTAAGCAGCTGTCGCCTTTTTTCAAGTGACATTTCATGACAGTCAACATACAAGCTAACCACAGGGGAGGTACGAAAAGCACCAGATGCCAAACGCAGCCCAAGGTGATGTACCGGATCGAGCATTTTTAAAGCAGACGGTCTCGCGGAGGAGGAGACAATTGAGCCATAATCAAGGGGGGATCGAATAAGAGAAGAATATAGACGAAGGAGACATTTTCTATCCGAGCCTCACGACTTGTGCGAAAGAACTTTGAGTATGTTCGATGCCTGCAGAGTTTTTTGCTTGAGCTGTTTGAGATGCGAAACAAAGGTAAGTTTACGGTCGAAAGTAACTCCTAGAAACTTGTGCTCCGTTTTGACAGCAATGTTGTTTCCATTTAAAAGAAGTGTAGGATCTAAACAGAGGCCACGCCTTAAAGAAAAAGGAACACAAACAGTTTTCTCCGGACAAAACCTAAAACCATTCTCAGCAGCCCATGTAGACATTTTATTTATGGCCAGTTGTAGCTGCCGCTCACAGCTAGACATATTACATGACGCTACAGATATCTGAATGTCATCGACATATAGCGAGTAAGATACTGAAGGAGGGATGACTTTAATATAAGAGTTAATCTTTAATGCAAAGAGTGTGACGCTTAGGACTCCACCCTGAGGAACACCGTTCTCTTGAACAAGCCAGTCTGATAAAGTTGTTCCCAACCGAACTCGAAAAGTGCGTTTACATAAAAAGCTCTTTATACACTGAAGCATTCTACCGCGTATTCCGTACATAGAAAGGTCTTGCAAGATGCCATACTTCCAAGTGGTGTCATAGGCCTTATCCAAATCAAAGAAAACAGATACACAATTCTGCCTGTTGACGAATGCCTCGCGCACAAAGGTCTCCAGCCGCACCAACTGGTCTGTTGTAGAGCGTTCAGGCCGACAGCCACACTGATTATTATCCAAAATATCATGCTGCTCGAGAAAATAAATAAGACGCCTGTTAATTAATCTTTCAAATGTTTTCCCCAGACAACTTGACAACGCTATTGGTCTGTAACATGCAGGAAGGCAAGGGTCCTTGCCAGGTTTCAACAGCGGTATAACTTCAGCCCGCTTCCATTCAACAGGGAAGTAGGCATCACACCACAGACCATTGAAGTACGTGAGAAGAGCACTGAGTGACTCTCTAGATAAGTGTCGGATCATGTCGTAGTGAATTCCATCAGGACCGGGGGCAGAATTCTTGCGGGAGTTCAAAGCTACTTCAAGCTCAACCATTGTAAATGGCTGATTGTAGGGTGCAGACTCTCCCCCTGTGAAGCAGAGCCTCGTCTTTTCCATGCCTGCCTTACGCTTGAGGAATGCTGGAGAGTAATGTGCGGAGCTTGAAACAGCCGCGAAGTGAGAGCCCAACACGTTAGCCTGGTCCGACAATGAGGCTCCAGAAGAAGGAAAAAGGGGGATCGTAAAACAACGGTATTTCCCCTCGACCTTGTGAAGTCGGTCCCACACTTCCTTTGCTGGAACATAGCTGCTGATAGAGGACAAGTAACCTCGCCAAAATTTTCCTTTAGCCTGCATCCGAGTCCAGCGGGCACAATCTCTGCGTCTCTTGAATTCCATCAAGTTCACCGATGTCGGGTATCTACGAAAGACGCCCCAAGCCTTATTTTGGTTATTCTTTGTGGTGAAACATTCCTCATTCCACCATGGCTTACATTTCTAGGGGATGTTCGAAGAAGTTTGAGGGATGGAGCAAAAAGCAGCACCAATTATATGCTCTGTGATGTAGGCTGTGGCATCGTCATGAGTTAATGAAGAGAACATAGAGGGAACAAGCTTGGATTTTTGGCTAAAAATAGCCCTGTCTGCTTTTTCTAGGTTCCAACGCGGAGTCCGTTTCATGAGACTGGGAATAGATTTCACGCTCTCCAGAGCAACCGGAAAGTGGTCGTTTCCAAACGGATTATTTAAAACGCTCCATGTGAAACAGGACACCAAGGATGGAGATGAA